TTCAGGGTCCTTGCAGAGAATGAGCTGGGGGGTGAAGGGAAAGAAGAGATTCTGAGAAATTGCCGGCTGACCTCACCCTCGGTCTGTGAAATAGGACTTGCCAAATGCTCTAAAGAGTCTGAAACTGCTTGCCTCAGTTTCCCTCATTTGGCTGTCAGCAGAATTCCTCCCTGTCCTGCCCCCACTTTAGTCAGGATTTGGCCTAGGCATCTGCACAGAGCTAAGACAGAGAATCCCTCTGTCAACACCCCCAGGTTGCATGCCCCCTCCCCTCCCCAGTCTTCTTATTTCCAGCGACTTCAGAGAGAAGCTGGGCTCCAGTCAATCTCTGGTCTCCGATGCAACTGGGAGATGCAGGGTAGTGAGGTAACACCAATATGTCTCCTCCATCTGGGAACCATGTTCCAGCTGTAGACATACCCTTACTCTACAAGCCTGGGAGCCCAGGTCGACTCAGAGCTCCACAGAGCAATTTGCTTAAGTAGCAGGTAGCGCTGCAGTCAATACAGTAGCCACAAGGCTTTTGGGTAAGTGCAACATGGCAGATGCAGAGGGTTATTATTCACAGTGAGATGGTAGGAGGCTGGGGCCCAGCTCCAGAATGCTCAGGGCTCTGTAATCCTACAGGGAGCTGTCTGCTCGTTAGCTGCAAACTCCAAGGAGAAGGCTCTTGCACCGACAGAAGGGACGACAAGGCAGCCAGCGGCAGGGTAAGGAGGAGGTGGAAGTAAATGTAGGGGAAGACAAGGAACAGTCTGGACTCAAAGGGGAGGTTGCCAGAGATGAGGGTGGCTAGGTCCCATGAGTCTGGCGAGGCAGGAGTAGGAAGCAAGAGGGAAACTCGGAAAGGCGGACAACACAATTTACAATCCCGTCCTGAGGCATGATTTAACCCTCTCCCTCCCTGCCCCTCAAAAACCATCTGCAAAGCCTGCCCGTCCCCCCCCCCCCCCCCCCCACACACACACACACACAGAGCTGCCAGGAGCCATCCTGCATTTTCACCCTAGTGTAGACAGGCTCCTGGAAGGAAAGCATGGCATCAGGAGGCAAGCAGGGCGATGGAGAGGGAATGGAGAGCTCCAGGGGGTGAGAGATGGTGGGGAAACAGCCTGCTACACAGATCTCCTGCAATTCCTTCACTTACCCTCTGGCCTCGGACTCACTCACACCAGCTGCCTCGTTGTGTCATAGCAGCTGCTATGGAGCTAACGTCCGTGGGAATCATCTCCCCATAACTCCACGTCACCCCAGTGGGCTACAGGGATCAGCCTCCGGCCATCTGCGAAACCAGGGCCAACAGGATGGTGAGCCAGAGTGGGCAGCATAGCACAGTCCATCAGCCTCACTGAGAGCAAAACTCTTGGAAAGGAGGCCCCAATTCCTGCAAGCGCCATCCTGCTCCTCAGCCCTGGGCCTTTGCACCTGGGGCCCGAGTGAATTGAGCTGGCAGCAAAAAGGCCCCATCGCGAGTCCACCTCCTCCCTCTTGTAGAGGAGGAAAGCTGGGGCAGAGAAACACAATTTGCACCAAGATCACAAGCTGAAGCTGTGGCAGCACCAGCGATTGAAACCCAGCAGTCCTGCCCAGGGCCTTAGGCACATGGCAAACCCCAGCAGAAGGTAAAGGAAGGCGGTCTGAGTGGAGCAGCATGGAGACACTTGGATAAAGCTGGAAATGGTGACGTTGAGGCAGGACAGACAGGGAGGCTGTGTGATAGACCCCCACATGGCAAGGCCCAGCTCTAGCAGCAACCTACTCCAAGAGCACAGCCTCTCAGCCTCCCCAGATACCAGCTCTGGGCACACCTAAAGCAAGTAGCATCCCTCCTAGCTGCTCAAGGACACCCTAGCAGGCTCAGGCAGGTGTGTGCCGTATTCACCCCTCTATGGTTTAAGGTTAGTTACGCCCTAGTAGCAGCTTCTCAGAGCCACCAAAAGGGAGGTGAATGAGGGGTTAAGGTCAGGGAATTTTTTTGTTTTGTTTTGTTTTAAAGACCTAAAACTGAGGGTTCTTAGAGAGCTCTGGACAGTGCAAAGGAGCTGGGGAATTAGGCCCAAAATCTCAACCACAGCCCAGTCTTTGTGGTTTAATTCTCCAAGCACCTTCTGATGCAGATGGTATCACCCCTCACCTCCTTCCCTAAGTCAAGGTGCCACACTCCACCCCAGTACTAGCAGCATGTGGGTGGTGGGATGAACGGATCCCTAGATGTAGTTTATGCAGCAGCTTTAGTGTGGACTGGTAGCCTTCAAGCAGGCAGGTGAGATACAGAGAGAAGGCTTAGAAGATGGCCAACAAAATCTCCTTCACCATGAAGATGTCAGCGTTTGCGAGAGCCACATCAATGTGAACCACCCCCCGCCACTATCGCCAGTTGCATGTTAGTGACTCCTGCTGCCTCAGGTTAAATAATCCGAGAAAGAACCGCAGATAATTAGATCCCTTGGTGACCACAGCTCCCTTTAGGAGAATCTGCTGAGCTGCCTGGCCTCTCAGGGAGTGGGGAGGTGGGAACAGTAGCCCCGGAAAACACTTCAGAAGCACAGCAGTAGGGTTAGCTCCTCCTAGAGACTACATCTAACACAGCAGTTGAGTGCGTGACTCCCAGCATAGGTGGACAGACAGGCGTTAGCTCTGCTCAAGCTGGCGTGCTAAAAACAGCAGGGGGTTACAAGGTTGAGAACCCCTGAGTTTGGCAAAGCACAGTATATGTAGCACCCCACTGCCATTGCCTCGGAGCACCTCACAAACAGGGATGCCTCTCTCCTCACCACACCCGTGGGGTAGGAAGTATAATTTTACAGCTGGGAAACAGAGGTGTCAAGAGGCCCCGTGACTCGGCCCAAGCTCCCATGGGGAAGCTGTCAAGAGCTGCAAGTTAAATCCATAGGTCTGCTGAGCCTCAGCGAACAACCCTCCCCTACGGCATTTAGTCTCCCTAGCCTGAGGCATGTCCAGACAGCTCTAGAAATCACAGCAGTTCCGAGGAAAGCGACAGGCTACCGGATTCTGTCAGACAATCATGATCTCACTTAATACAGGGATTAAGAATTCAAAACACCATCATCCTGATAAACCACGCAGGAGTTTATCACAATAAGAGTCCATGAAGTTGTGTTTCCCCAACCCCTCAAAATGAAATGCTCCACTGCCCTCAGCAGCTAGAAGATTAGAGACATTCTAGGTACCGTAGGTGGTGTATCAAACTTTCCGTGGTTTTGTACTTAGGCTCACTGCAGCAGTTTTATTCCACAAGCAACAGCAGAAGGGTATCAATAGCTGCACCGGTGAGTGCATCTTCAAGGTAGTTTCAGTTAACAGTACATATTGCCCAAGCAAAAATAAAATGAAAGGTGCAGGTGTCCCTGATCTGCTGAAATGAGTAAGAACTTGGACTATTACAACGGAGCAAACCCTTACATAGAAACCATATAGACCAACAGGGATGAAATCAACAGGATGCTCTAAAAGTTACCCTAGAGAATCAGATCCTTTCTAGAGGATTTTTAAGCCAATATCTAGAAATCAAAGAATTGTATCATTGTTAGAGACCAGTATAGGTTGGCTCATAAGGGCCCTCCCTAAAACAAGCCTGACATTCAGTGACATTCCTGATATTCAGTATTCGTTATCTGTCTTTTGAAGAAGAAAACTCACTTTTATTTCAGAAGATTTGATCAGGAAATCTGATCATCAGAATCTGTGCAGAAAGCCAACGTCACCCCATCCAGATACAGGTGTGGTTAGATGTTGATAGATGTTTGGCTGCGTGTGCTGCCCCAGCCCTGCGCAGACAGCTGGCATGGCAGACCTCGAGCGAACCGCCCAATGACCACAAGATCTGTTAAGGGATGAAGGCACCCAGCCAGGTTTATTATCGACGAAGCACAGTACTAGTATCCCGCAGACTCTATCGGACCACTAATACGTTATGCCCGTAACAACGGACCAGCTCAGCAAACAGTGGGACTTTCTGTTCCTCCCTAAGCCAGAAAAAGATACTCCCTCTGAGATACATCTTTATACCCTAATACAAACAAGTTAGTACTGCCCCTCGGACATTGATAACTAGCCCAATTAGAGGGCAGTAACTCATCCTTGTACATATTGGTTCAATTAAAACATCTCTATCACATACTGTCATCCTGACCTTATCTTTTAGGAGGGGTCAGTGTGTTCCTGTTATCCTTGAGAAATGTTTTTGTACCATCCTTAATAGCGGGATGTTCTGGTGCTACTTGATATTGGAATGGGTTTGCATGAGTGCTGTGACTAGCACTCCTTAGGAATGTGTATTTCTGCAATATTAGCCCTGTTCTTGCCAAGTTATGTAAGCAGGTCCTGCCTCATACCAGGCCTCTAATACAAGGGCTTATATCTCAGGCTCTCTTCCTACTACAGCAGGATTATTATTTGGAATCAACATCTGCTTCAGCCTGTGACTTGTACTAATTGTGCAAGACCGAGATTCCATTTTCCTACTCGCTGTTCTAGGCCAATACAGCAAGCCTGTCTGCCTCCATCCCCACCAGCTGTCAACATTCAAGCCAATAAGGGTGTAAGAACCTGACAGGCTTCCCTTCTTCCTTTACAGCTGAGCACTATATCCGCCTGGGATGTGCCATACTGTGCTGGGCCCTTCGATACCTATACGTACTTTCCTTCATTGCACTATCGGTGCTCCCAGGGATGAGAACCCTTGGAAATCTGAAGAGTTGGTTGGGGGGAAGAATTGGGTGTAGGCTAACCATGCAGTCCATGGCTATTGGTCTAAAACCTTTAAACATGCAGCAGCGGAGGCTGCAGCACAGGACGGAACAGCTCAGGGGCATGGAGCCGTTCACTTCCAGGATGCTGGTATTAGTAGTGTCTGAAAACTGTTCCCACTGGATGCTGATCAGTGACCCACATCAAATGTTTACATCCAGCCTAACGCCAAATTCCCATAATTAATGTATAAAAACACAACAAATTCCACTTACGTCCTAGCACGTATGCACTATTTACATAATTTATTCAATCCACTACAGATTATTTGGACAGCTATGTAAGGCATATGGTTTTCTGCACTAAAGAGGTTATTCAATAGGTACCTTTTACAGGACTGGTTCTGCCTCTCTCTTTGCTAGTTTATAGAGATACATGTGACATCTTTCCTCTGCCAGAGATGTAGAAAAAAAGAGAAGGCTGCTTCTTTTCAAATCACATACAAGTTATATAATAACTTTCAAGCCCAGAAGAAAAACCGGTTGGTATCTTCCACTGAAATCAGAAAAAACACGCACGCACTAAATATGCTACATAAAAACTATGGCATTAGCACTTGTGCTCGTCTCCAAGCTAATCTGAAGACACTAATAATTTACTGAAATAAATACAAGTAGGAACTGGACAACCTCTTTTTATACCTACACAGATCTGCTTAAGATTCATCTCTCTGCTACTGAGGAACAGACTATTGAAAAGCCTTGTGTTGGATGCATCCCAAAGAACAGCCACTCACGGTGACCACAGGAGGGAGGAGCCAGACCTTAAGAGGACATCAGTTGGAGTCCGCTGGTTTGGTGCGGATTGGGGGAGAAACATGGGAATCTGTGTGATTTCAAGATGATGATTTTGGGTGCTGATCTTTTTTTTAAAAACAGATTAAAAATTTAAGTCCACCTTGGTTAGTTGCAATTAAAAAAAGCAGGATTCCACTGAGGAATAAAGAAGGCGTATAGTATCGTAAGTTGCTCATAGAGCAATTTCAGGCTTAAGCAAAGGAAGAAATAGTAAAAAACTGTACCAGGGAGAGTCAGCCTAACTCTGGGGCTGAGTGCAAGTGGGTCTGTCTGTTATATACACACATGGGTTGGATGTTCCCCAGACACATCAGATACCATGCTCAACAAATTTGCTTCTGCTGGACTCTGGAAGCCCCTGGGGACAGCAGTGTGGAAATGTCAGTTCAGTAGACCTTGCTGCTCTGCCAGTCACCCCAGGGGACAGCTTGGCCCTTAAAGCACTACAGTTCTCTGGAGGCATTGCCCACCATTTGTCCAGCAAGCACAGGGGGTGGCAGTAAAGTTCAGTCAACAGTAGCAAATGGTGAGTTTCTTCAGTTCAGAAGCCGTGCCCAGGAGAGCTCATGTTTCCAGCACTCTGATGAGAGGGAGGGGCTTGGGTCCAAGGGGCTTCGCCAACCTTTTACTACAAAGCAAAGAAAGGAAAACACTGAAGCACGGATCAACCAGATGCATTGGAGCTATGACTCAAATTATGATGCATGTCTATCAATCTGGGTTCAACCCACCCTCCCCTGGATCTATCTGGGTTATTACATGCCGCCCCCCTTCCACATCAATCTCTGAGCATCTCCCAAATATCCATGCATTGAGGTTGACAAGACTTGTACCCCCTTTACAGACTGGGAAACCAAGGCAGAGGGATACAATTGCTTTGCCCCTTGCCAATGCCTTCCATCAGCGGTCTTGGTGCTTAATAGTGAATCAAGCTTCACAAGCACTCCCACAAAAAGTTATCTCCCCATTTTACAAACGGGAACATTGAGGCACAGAGTGAAAAAAATGACTTGGTTCAAGGCAAACACTGAGGCAGTGACAGGATTAGAACCCAAACCTCCTGCCTCCCAGGCCAGTGCTTAGCTCACACAGAAGAAGCAGGTTGAAGTTGGACACCGTAAAACCTGGCCTCGGTCTTCCTCCACAGGTCACTGCAGCTCCCTGCTTACCTGCTCACGGACTCCGATTTTGAGCGAGCTCTGGTGCTATAGCTGCCAGGGTTGGTTTGCTTCTCGATCAGGTGCTCAATACGATCGTGCATCTCCAGATTCTGAAACACAGACCAGACCAAGAGTTTCAGTTCAGTCTGGAGAGAAAGGCCAGAGCGGTGGCACGGAGTCGATTACGCCACCACTCAGCGAACAGAGTGCTAGGTCAGCAATTCCCATGTGTTATCGGTTTACCACCTTCCTAAAAAATAGTTGTGAATAGCGCTGGTGGAACATCAAATTCACGTACCACTGGAGATATGTGCACCACAATTTGGGAACCCCTGTGCTACGTTGCACAATGCTAGATAAACAATAGACAAGTTTTACTCCCTGCACTAAGGACCTGAGTCAACCCATCTTTGAACAAACTGTATGTTAATTAGGGGCTGAAGGAGGCGTCGGGGGCAGATGAATTTCTTGGGGCTTTCATCTATTTCACCCTCCTGCAGCCTACAGTGCGCTTTGATACTTTTATGATCAAAATGGAGCTCATGCCCCTGTGCCCCTCCCCCCGCAATCACGGTTTCATTAGCTTGGCAGTTCTACAAGAACATATGGGATTAAATCTGAATTTAACTTGGATTTTAGATTAAAGACTCAGCTGGCTGCAGTTGCACCATTTCAGTTTTCTGCCTTCGGGTTTAGGAAAAGGGAGACATGCACTCACTGCCCCATCCCCCTCTGCTGATTAGCAAAATGCCAAGGCACCATGAAGGGACGAGAATGGTTAAAAGCTGCCAGCACATGCTCAATTTTAGCCAAAAAAGGAGATGCATTTGCATTCCAGTATCAGGGAAGCGCCGCTTTGCATTTTGTAATGTTACTATCTGGCACCTACGTGCCACCACAAGAGAAGCTCCATTGCTACGGACACACGCTTTGGGAGACGGTGGACTAGATTTGAGTTGTGTCTGCTGCAGTAACCCAGCTTCACTAAAAGAGAGACAATATAGCGTAACAAAGTGGCTCAGCGGAAACCATCCAAACCTACAGACTTCAACTCAAGCATGACCGGTCCTTGCTTGTGCAGTGGGCGCACTGCATGCTAGGGCTTTGCTAGCGTCTCTATCACCCCAACTGGGTGGCCTTCAGTGCTTTCAAGAAAAAGCAAAGTTCATTCCTTACATTCCAGTTAGTTGTTCCAAACTTTAAAGTGACTTGCAAAATAATCACACGTGACATTTAAAGTTTGAGGGGATAGCTCCTATCAGTTAAACAGGAAAGCTCTGATCAGTTAAAGCAGGCTTTATCACCCCCACCGACATGCACTTTGAGAAAACAACTCCTAGAAAGGCAGTTCAGCCAATCTAAGGAAACGAACAAACATACCTCAGCTTCCAAGTAGGCAACTCTCTCTTTGAGCTCCTGAATAATCACATCCTTCGCATGAATCACTGTTTTGGAATTCTGAAGCTGTAAAGGAAAAAGTTAATCAAGATGACTAAAGAAATCTCAGACCTGCCTACACTAGACAAGGTATCTGGAAAGCATAATAAACGAGGAGCCTTTTGAGGCTAACACCAAAAAAGAACATTCACTACAGGTTTTCTATAACTTTGGATGCGGGAAAAGGAACTCAAAGTTCTGGGCAAGAGAGTCGCCGAACTTGTGGACAGTCTAGAATTAACTATTTCACTGCCAGAGATTCATTGATGGGCCCCACTGCAGACAATGGGCCAAATTCCCTGCTGGTATAAATGACAGCAACTCATTTTATTTCCAAGTAACTAGTCTTGCTGGGCACTATGGTCCGATTGCCATCACTGCGACCATTCCTTCAGAAGATCAGACCTTTCACACCTGGGTCCCTCGGGGACTGTCATCACTTTGGAGGGCAGCAGGGTGGAAAGTGCATTGTGATAGTTTCAAACAACTCCCTCCAGCAGACGTTCAGAGCCAAGCTATCAGGCTCCGTGTGGCATTCAGCTCATGCTAACTCAGCCAGGAGAGACTGAGCAAACCTTGTGCTGCCTTGGTCCCGTTTCCCCCTCACACCAAAAGGAAGCATGGCCTTCCCTTAAAGAGGGTCTAAAAATAGATGTATGCCGCTCAGCACGGATTCTACAAACTCAGCATCTTTTGTATTATTTGCATTCCTATAGTCCCAGGACCCCTAATCATGGACCAGACCCCCACGGTGCTCAGCACTGTACAAACACAGGGGGGGAAAAAAGACACTGCCTGCCAGCACCAATAGGTTTCCTAGCCCCAGCAAGGCACACCCACCTGCTCAATCATCTGCCGGACTTTGCGCTGCTGACTCTTCAGCATGTCATCGAGATGGTGTATCTTCTCCCGCAAGGTGGCCACTTCCTTCTCCAGTTTGGCCGACCTAGGAAGGAGACTTCCGAGTGAGTCGGAAAGAGCCATTTAGCCTCCCCCAATTAGCAGAGGAATACGAGACTGAGCGTTTCACCATAGACATCTCGCCACCTCCCCAGAGCTGTATTTACTCTGCCACGGACGGTCAGTTGTGGGTAGCGTTTTCCATACGCATGCACGCACCCCAGCCACATGGCAGAAAAGAAGCAGTAATAGGCAGTGACAGTAAGGGAGATGGGGTTTTCTCAGATGACAACTCATGGATCTAGACAGCAGATGCGCCAACGGTAGCAAAGACTGAGTGGAGAGACAGAGGCCAGCAACACTAACTGAGCAGAGAAAGACAAGGTCTCAGTTTACCCGGAGCAAGGTGTTCTAATAAACAGAGGCCATTTCCACTTGGATCCTGGAGCAAACAGGAAGCTAGTGGAGGTATGTGAGAATGGAGTGACGTGGTCAGGTTTTGGATGTGGGAGATTTGCTTTTTCTAACAAGGCCACATGAGGACTGCACTCAAATTCTAGGGAAGGTTTTTGGGGCACTGCAGGCTGCAGTAGGAACAGGTGGATTAGTCATCTTGAGAAAACCCTGATATTCGGCAAGCAGCTACACCCGCCCTTCACAAGAATGCAAAGTCATGCCCCAGCGAGCTGACAGCCTCCTAGGCTCACTCCGGAATTGGCGACTGCCTAGAAGGAGTCTTGGCATCCCTGCCCAAGGCTGAGCCTCACCTATCCTGTTCGGCGAGCTTGTCATTTTGCAGGTTTCTCAGTTTCTCCAGCTCTGCTTCACCTTCTTTCATCTTCAGCAGCAAACTCTGATGTTCCTGCAACAGATCGGAGGACAAGTTACAACAGCTGCTCTGGCCTCTATTTCAGGGCAGAGGCAAAGCATCGGGCTATGTGGATCTGTAGCGCTGGGCAGTCCTAGAAGTTAGCCTTGGTTGTCAGCAGAGATGCTGATCCTGCAGCCGGTATCTCATGGAAATTTAATGCTTGTGAAAGGAGAAGAAAATTCTCCATTTCCCTATAGGACGGGGCAGCAGCAGTGCAAATCTCCCCCAGGCTGCGCTCTACCACTGTGCTTCACCCCTGCCCTAGACGGAGCCCCAACAGGGGAGCTCAGTCTCCATGGCTTGTTCACACCTTAGCCCCTCTGCTGAGGATGCCAATACAGGTGCCAGCTGTGCAGGTGGTTATTATTACATGGACACTCATCCCCTGGAACTTGTTACCCAGAAGCCATCAACAAATGGCTACCTGGCAGACAGCGGGCCCACTTCCTGCTGCAGAGGAGGCACTTGTGCCACAGCAGTGTTGCTCTGGAGCTGATCAGCGTCCAGCACCTTACATGTTGCAAGGTCACTAAACCCGTCACCCTTCTCAGCGAGCACCTGACAGAGCGGCCCAGCCACTAGGCCATCAAGCAGGCCCCATGTTGATCTCTAAGCAGTACCTTCTCCATCCCTGACATGAGCCTCTGCACTTCCTCCAGCTTCACTTCCTTCTCGGCCATGCCCTCCTCAGCCTTCTTCAGAGCTGCACTGGTTTGCTCTATTTCTTTCTGGTACTGGGAGGTTGTCATCTGCAACACAGGACACAAAAGAAAGATGTTTCTGATCCTCACACAGTCAATGAAGACAATGAGAAGGCCCCTCTCAGTGACTGCATTTTAAAGATGGGATGGGATTTTTAGTCTTGGCAGGTGTATTTTGCTGAAGGAAGCCAAACGGCCCAAAGTGCTGGAGAGAAGGAGCCTCTACAAAGCTTTGTCTTCAAAGCACTTCAGACTAACTGATGCATAAATCCTATGGCAAAGACGACAAAAGTGCATCACAAATGCCAGAAAACTCATCATTCAGGCATGCGAGTTATGGAAGTTTTCCATCTCGTTTCAGATGAACACTCAGAGTATGTCTACACCTGAACCATTACAACATCACAGCTGTGCTGCAGTAGGGCTTCTGTGTAGACACCACCTACACCGACCAGAGCGGTTCTTTGGTCAGCACAGACAATCCACCTCCCGGAGAGGTGGCAGCTAGGGCAACGGTAGAGTTCTTCTGTCAACCCTAGCGCTGTCTACATTGGTTGGCTTAACTACATCACTCAAGGGTGTCAATTTTCCACACCCTCAAAGTCGTAGTTATGCCAATGTAAGATCCCAGTGTAGACCAGACCTCAGCTTGCATGACATCCCCTAGCCCAGGAGTCAGCCACAGAACTGGCACTAGGAGTCAGGAGCTCCTGGCTCCCAGACTTGTGGGCTGATCATCAGATGCTTCTGTTGTTCTGTAGAGAAGGACTCTCCCTTCTCCACACCCACCAACCTCCCAGGCTTGTCCAGAAGGTATAGCTGAAGTGGACTCAGCTGCCAAACCAACTGATTAGCATCTACGTACATAATGTCCATTTAAACAGGAAAATTATTTGTCAGATAACTAGTATAGCAGATCTCAGGAATCATGCACAGATTTCCAATCCCTGGGGTATGTGTCAGGAGTGCCACAAACCCAACACATTTCTGCAGCTCCCACCACCCCAAACTCTCTCCAGGCAGCAGCAGAGCCCTAGTCTGCACTTAAAATTTAGATCGACCTAGGTTCTCTACCTGTGCTTCCCCGCCAGTTAGTTCCTTTAGCTCTTAATCATCCAAACACACATCCCTGGTTTGGAGAGGAAGGGAACAAGCAGACCTCTGCGGGGCCTCCCTCTAGGAGCACAAATGCGGGGTAATAGGATTTCCTTTCCCAGCCATTTTAGGGCTAAAGGGATTTCTCTTAGACAACAATTCACTCAAGCTCCATGAAAAGAAATGGAGCCTGGAACCATTGGCACAATGAAACTAAAACCTGAAGCATCCCCAAACAGGGACTTCCCTCAGCCCCAAGAGCTCATTACATTTAATGAAGTCTCCATATACGCATATGCCAACATGACAAAGCCACTGTTTTTCCCCTAAACAAAAGGGGACCATTAATCCCCAGTGCTGGGTAAAGGAGCAAACCAAGAGATTGTACTGCGTCCGCACCCCCTAGCACACAGGAGCTGTCATTTTAAGTTACTTTCACTGCAAAACCTGCTTCTATCCCTAAAGCAGCGTGTAAATACAGTCACAGCTGAGTGAGAATGAATTCAGCTGTCACCTCAGAAACCCGCCCACATGTTTCCATTTAATAAGTTACTTGATGTGAAAACATGGCTGGGTCCCAGCTGCCCAGTTTGTGCCACATCCCTTCACCACCAAGACATCTTGTGATCTTGATGCAACAAGCTAAAAATCTCTCTGTAAGAGGAAGGATTGTGTTGTGGAGAAGGCACTGGACAATTCAGCAGATCTGGCAGGGTTCAATGCTTGGCTCTGCTTCAGACTCCCTATGTGACTCTGTTCCAGGCACTTCATCTCTGTATTTCACTCCCCCCCCCCCCCCCATCTATAAAATGGAGATGATACTTCCCTCATTCACAGTTTGTTCTAAGGCCAGAAGGGATTAGTGTGATCATCTAGTCTGACCTCTTGCATAACACAAGCATCCTACCACCTGAACAAGGACTTGAAACCTGGCCCCTCACATTAAGAAGCTGATGCTTCACCACCTGAGCTATCCAGGTAATTCACTGCCGTATGCAAGATGCTCATATGCTGGTCATGAGCACTAGGATGTCCTATACATAATTAACAGGATAAACAGAAATTGGAGGAGACTAAGGAAAATGGCCAAAATGCCACTTGTCTTAGCAAGCACTTTGCCATCACCCACTAAAGTCATTATGATTTTACCTTAGGTTTAATTAACATTACCTGGAAACAGTCATTGTATAACTCAAGACCAGTTTGTGAAAATTTCAATGCAATGTATTTATTTACAGTTTACAGATTGTGCATATTTAGTTAAGACTTTAATGGCAACCCTGTGCTCAACTTGAGCTTTCGACCTCGCATGGGGAAGAGGCTGGCTGTGCTGGCTGATGTGAACTAGCCAGAATTGTGTTTTACTCAGTCATTAAAAGCCAGTCAAGTCTATTTACTCTCTGGGTTTCAAAACTGCCTGAACAGCAGGTCTTCAGAAGTGTGTCCCAACCACGCAGGCCAGCACAACCCCAAACTGGTTTCAACTATTGTGTATTCTTTGTATTGTGCTTTCAGCCAGGAGCCCCAGTCATGGATCATGGCCTCATTGTGCTAGGTGCTGTACAAACCCAAAACAAGTTTGGGTGTTGCTAACAGGAAAAGGGCAGTGTAGCTCGGATTGTCTGGGGAAAAAATGGGAATTGATGGTTGGTTGAAGGATTCATGATTTATAACCTTTAATCACATATCACACCCTCACATCCTACTTTCCAACACAGCTTGTATCAGCTCCAGAAGGAGGGGGCTGGTCAGTTTCAGAGAGCTACTTAGTAGCATGCACTTGAAGCTAGCCCCTCATTCAGACAAAGATCAAGCTCTTTCAGCAGTTAAACATTGCTCTGTATTCACCTCAAAAGCGGTCTTGTCTGACTGATGCCGCTTCTCAGCCTCCTGCAGTTTCGTGAAAAATCTCTTTGCGGTCTCACGAATTTTTTCTATGTCTTCTCCTGAATAATCATCCTCCTGCAAACACAGCATGAAAGCTTTATTTGTCTCAAGTTGAACACTATCAGGACACTTTTTTCTGCATGTAGGAGAGCCAATACTTTTGACCAATAGGTTACAATATTCACTACAAAAAAAGGCTGCAGAAGTTGTGGTAAAGTTTGATTTAGGCAAGTAAGAGAACAAGTTCTCAAATTCCACACTGAGTCGGGTGTCTTGGGGCCCATACAATTAAAAAAAAAAATCATGTGACTTTCTTAGGTCTCCTTTCAGCCCCTCCCATGGTGTCTCTAGGATGCTGTCATGAGTCACCCTTAGGTATCCCAAAACCATCAAGTGAACCAAGTCATGACAACTTAAACACTGATTACTGAATCCTGCCCCCCTCAGTTATGGCTTTTAAACTATTGGCAAAAGGGCTGCAGCATTGTATTGTGCCACTCTGCAGTATGGGGAATGCCATTACTGTAGAGACAGGATGAGATAGCTGTATATTGCTCAATTTTCTGCAAACTGCACTAACTTCAGATAAGATGGACTCCTTAATTATCCTCGCATCCAAAAGGTTCCTGTGAAAAGGAGCCTTGTGCTTGCAGAGATTTAAGAAGGTGAGCTCATTACTAGAGCAGCTGGTTTAAATGCACGTGAAAATCAGACCTGACGTCTAACCAAACCCAGATACAGCCAGAACAGTACCTGTGAGCTTTGGAATGCAAGGTAGATCTTAGAGCAGTTATAGGTTTGAAGTTGAAGATTTTAAAAGAAACCAAATCTAACTGCTCAAAATATAGTTCCCCTTTTTTGGTTCCATACCTGATCCTCCAAGGAGTTCCTATGGCAATACCCTGATGGCTTGCAGATTCCATTCTGTTTTTCGAACATTACCTATTTAAAAAAAAAAACATCAAGAACTGTGATCCTCCCTCATAAAACAAGGCTTAGATGTTACAGACAGAACACTTCCATCAGCTTTATATCTTTGTATTGCTGTAACAGCTTTAAAAAAAAAGGAGGAATATATATTTTTTAATAGGTTTACAAAGAAAAAAAGTGCACTAGAACAGCCCATGCATTTAGCTTGCTGAATCTTTCTCGTTTGCTTCTGCATATTTCTCAGTTCTTCCTCCAAAGAAGGTCTCCGAACAGGCTTTTAATCACCCAAGGGGATTTTATTTCTAGGCCACATTTTGCTGTTATTTTTATCCAAACATGGCATCTCTTTCCTCAGGAAAGGAAGTGCCACTGCAAGTTGACTGAAGAAATGTTCCTGTTACCTTTGCACATTGCAGATTAGTCTTAGCTCCTTGTCTGCTCTCAAGTTTACTACTTATATCGTCCCGCAGCTTCTTCAAAGAACTTCTAGCCTGGTAAATGCAAGTCAATTTAGCTTCGTCTGTATGAACAACAGTGTCAATTATTCTTTTCAATATACATCAAATGCACATGTAGTAGGTCCCAAAAACAGGGTGTAAAGACATTACATGCCAGTGTTTGAGGCCAGACAAGTAAGCAGAGGTCTTTGTCTTGTACCAACGTGCCACAAAAGTCCCTGATTTTACTAGATATTCACCAGCAAGCAGCACTGACAACAAGTGTCTTACCATCTTTGCTAAAGCATAAAGGACAGACTATGTCCCAATATGTATGCTGATTTTTCATTGTTTAATTTTCTCTGCAAGAGCACATTGAAAACTACAACAAATAGAAGTGACTAACAGATCCTTGTTATTCCACGCATCTGATCCCATGTGGCTTCAGCCAAATGGGAGTTTACTGACAAGTACAGTCTTGACTTGCACCTGTGATACAGAATTAGTCACTAGAGAAAATGAATCTGGTAATTTTTACAGGGTCACTCCTCCAGCAATAGTGACACCAAGGCTGAAATGCTGATATTTCAGCATGTACTTTCTGCATCTATAAGCACCTTTCATACAAGGATCATCAAGCACTTTTCTAGCTTTAAAGCGCTCAACCCCCCCCCCCCCCCCCCGTGAGGTATGTATTGACTCACTTTAGAGGAGAAATCGGAGACACAGAAAAGCCAAGATCATATAGCAGGTATGACTATGCTACGTGGCGTGTTCTATCTCAGTGACACCAGTCACTGATCCAAGGTGCTTATAAAGCACAAGAGCTGCTTCAACCGTTTTGAGGTAATTCGGTAAAAGGCCTCTTCTACACAGTTTTTTATGGGTATAATAATGATGTCTGTTAAGGTGCATTTATTTATTGATATAGTTATACCAGTACAACCCCTTGGGCAGCACAGTTCTATGCTTATTTCTCCAGCAGATCTCAAAGCGCTTTAGTCTTTTAATGTATTTATCTTCAACTCCCCTATGGGGTAGGGCAGCATTATCAGCCCCATTTAACAGATGGGGGAACTGAGGCACAGATTGGCAAAATGACTTTAAGGTCACACAGGAAGTCTATGAAAGAGCAGGGAATTAAATGCAGGGGCTCCCATATCTTAGGCAAGTACCCTGACTTCCCTCCTCATTCTATTGGGATAGCTGATTCCCCTTCCCATACAGATAAGAGTTAAAGCACTACAACATGCGTGTTGAATAAGGCCAAAGTCACACCATTAACAAGACTGTTACTTGAAATCTGTCACTTATACCAAGTATACATCCAACTGGAAGTGAGGGACACCCTGACCAATACACACCCAATGAGAACTCATTGTAATAAGTGATGAGTGGTTAATAAAATTGAAATCCCAGAGACTTAGCACATGCATACAAAGATTAAAGCATCTTGGTGGCTTAGAGATAAATTTCAGTGGCTCTAACAGTAAATTACCTTACTAGTAATGGAATATGTCCACACACGAGCCAAGAGGGGAGCCATAGCTGAGAGCGGGGGCATGGCCGTGGATGGAGCCGGAGCTGCGGCCAGGGTGGAGCTGGGAGAGGAGCGGGGCTAGGGGTGGCACTTCCTCCCTGCACCTCCATGGGGGCTGGCCTGGGTTCTGCCATGCCTCATGGACATCCCTCCATTCCCTCCTAGTGCGGCGCACCCCACAATTTGGGCCCACTGCTCTAACAGAAGAGACTGCTAAAGCCTTTGTGCTTTTCAATTCGTTTTCAAGTAGTCCGAACAAGTCTGTGGTGCAATTACAGCAGTGAAGAGACAGAATGAACTATTTTTATTTTCTTTAGGGGAAATGCATTTTGTCTCGGAAGCTGGAGGCCAAGATTCACAAGGCTAATATAGAATGGAGGCATAGGAACTATCCTATTCACTCAGATGTTGGGCTATCTAACCCAGTATCCCATCTCCCACAGAGGAAGGTGCAAGAAGCCCCCACAATAGAAAATTATGGAGACATTTAAGTTTATTTAAAAGCCAAGCCTGAGACAGACCAGCCTAGACCCTACTATTGCAAAATATGGAAATGGTTTAAATCGCAACCAGCTATCTCCCACCCCCAACCCCACAAAGGTCCAGTCCCATCACTGCTGCCAACTGGACAGGGAAACGTTAACCCTTGAAGTGTCAGACTTCACATTTCCTTAGGCAGGTGGAGCCTTGCCTACAAAACTGCCTTCTAAGAGGCAGCTCTGGTGCCATGCCCGGGTGTGGCTGGGGAGAGCCTAGCCAAAAGTCATGCAGTTCTCACACAGCTGACTTGCACTTTACCCAATGCAGCACTGCAAAATGCTCTGCACTGTGGCAGTGTCAGGCCACGTCTACACTTACAAACTTACGGCGCGCAGCTGTACTGATACAGCTGTGCCGCTGTAAGAGCGCCTGTGTAGGCACGTTATGCCGACAGCAGAGAGCTCTCTCTGTCAACATAATAAAACCAACTCAACGAGCGGCGGTAGCTATGTTGGCAGGAGAGCGTCTCCCACCAACAGAGCCCTGTGCACACGAGCTCTTATGCTGGCAAAACTTATGTCGGTCAGGAGTGTGGTTTTTTTCCACACCCCTGGGTGACAAGAGTTTTGCTGACGTAAGTGCTAGTGTAGACATGGCCTTAGTCTTCGGAAAAACAGCTACATGGGTTTCTACTCGGGCATGGGGGGGGGGGGGCAGGGAGAGAGATGGGCAGATTCCTGTATGCGAAGAGAACACCTCTGCCATGACACAGATTCTTCAAACATTGCCACTGGAAGTTGAGGGCACCAAAGCTTTGAGATAAGCCTCCAACAGGCAGCTGTGAGAATTCAGACTTTGGTTGGGTTAAGTCAGCAACATATTGTACGTTAATTCTGAAACCAAAAGCTACCTCTTGAATGTAACGAACTTCGCTTTTCAGCTGACAGACATTCTGTTCATGCTTCACCTTGTCCTCAGCCCTTGCTTTTAAGTAAACCTGAGTCAGAAAGAAACACCCCAATGAAACAGCTGTTCAATTACAGAAGATTGAAACCAGAATAGTTAGTTACAGTCACAGAGTCAGGTACAATGAGTAAATGAGCTCTCAAAGCCCTCTAAGATCTTCCAGGCTCTTTTTCTACCTCTATTCCTTCCTTCATCGGGACATTGTAGCTGGGATTTGGACACCCAATTCTCATTAAATTTAATTGGCTTTGAAAACTTCGGCCTCTGGCGTGACCTTTTCAGTAGAAGTTGTTAAGGATGGTTATGGTCATCAGTTTTTCCTCCTCTCTCTAACTTTTATTCACTTCCCAGTTTTTACATTTGGATGATTTTAACGCATTTGTTTATTTCTCTAAGCTCTCCCTTAGGATTCCCAGGGTGTGGAGACTAAACATTCCTCAGATGCCATTTTTGTTTTGAGTTTTAAGAGTTCCAGTTTAATCAAGTTCATTCCATTAAGCCTGGGAAAGTTACTCAGCAACTCTGCTGAAGTTAATTTACTGAAACAATGCAAGGTTTCCACATTTCAAAAAGGTTTCTCCTGAAAGAAAACCCACTCTGCAAGCATTGCCACAGGCTCTCCTACCCAAGTCAGGATACCACGAACCATGCTTGCTGAGATTTCTTGTTTGCACAGCCAAAATCTAAATTTTTAGTTTACGTCTAAAATTAAACAAGATTAATTTAGTCTCAATGCATATTGGGTACCTCTAAATTAACTGGGCAAATTAATTATTCAGATCAGCTGGGAACCATGGTTAACACTAACCTTGATGATCTCCTCGTGACCGTCACTGGATTTGATGCATTCTGAAGCCAGTGAATGGCCATTACTTGATCTGTTGGCCACCATAGCAAAGGCCCTTCCAACAGGCTGCAAGAGACAATGTAGTAAGACATTTAGATAATTTGTTTGCATAGCTTGTCTGGACCTAGCACAGCAGCTTTCTAGTCTGATCAGCATCAAGCACTTTATTAGAGAAATGCTGTGTAAAATGCAGTCTGGACCCTGTGGGACAGGCACAGTTTTAGTCCTGGGTTTATACAGCCCCTGCACAATGGGGCCCTTCTACATGACAGAAGCCCTTAGGAGCTACAGTAATTAAAGGATGCTCCTTTAAGCGATTTGCAATGAGCAAATGCTTATGCAGCTCAGGAAATGGAGTTCTCTCTAGCATATCAAGCATAGCATAGTTTGACTATGATCCCTTACAAAGTTCTTTCCCCTCCAAAAAGTTATTGTGAACAATAGCTTTTACATACAAGCCAGAACAGAATAAATTTTTACTTATTTTAAAATCACTGTTTTTTAGCAGCCCTTAGCGTGGAGTTCGCTGGTAAAATTCAAAACATGGCACACGAAAGTAACAGTGATTCCTACATACAGCAGTATGTTCATGCCTGGAACACACACCTTTTGTTTCACCTGATCACGTCCCTTGCCTGGAAGGTCATTCTGCAACGTCAGCCGTAGCACTTTCACACTGTCCTGTAAGAAAGATGCCAGATTTTAATTAAAAATGGTTTATGTTGCTCCACGGTTAGGTTTTAAAATGTTTTTTGTATCCACATCAAACATTTGACACAGTTAAATACAAATCTCAAATGCCCATTTACATTTTTTCCAAAAATCAAATGATTGTCTGCATAGACACAAGGGCAAGCCCTGTCTATTTAGCTCTCTGATTTTGACTACAGTTGATATAGTAAAATAGTTAGGATTAAAAAGGAGAAGCCGAAGTGAAAAGGAGATTGGAAAGCACCTCACCCAAGCCCCAAATAGACCTGAGGAAGCATTGGTGGGGTGAGAAAGCAGTCAGAGGACCTGGTAATGATATTAGCCCCCAGGCCAGAAAGACTGCCCCTGACCATATGTGATACTGGCTGATCATTTAGGGGTTGCCATAGATTCAAGGCTGCTACTGAAAGTATGGAAGTAACTGTTCTGCATTAGCACCTTCCCTCCAACGGGAAAGACATAGTGACACATTTATCCCTTCCTTTATTCTTTGAGGCTAGCTAACTTCACTGCACTCTGCATGGAAGTTGAGAACACGCAGAAATTGAAGATAGTGCAGAACGCATTTGTCCATTGAAGCTATACTTCATGCCAACAGCGTACACCCCCAGGGCTCCGCGAGCTATTATTTCCAAGTGGTACATAAAGGGATTGGCTTTAATCTATGAAGCAGGTTTGGGACCTGGCCACTGGAGAGACCTCTCTTCTATCCCATAGCTGTGATCAGTCTAGTCAGAGCACTCAGTTTAAAAAGGCGCTGGTTGCAGCTGAGGCACTCTCTGAAGGCCTCTGAGAGGCTGGGAGAATGTCTGTGCCAAACTGAGAACATCTTGCTTTGTCAGGATCCCCACAACCCAGGAAAGGGGTGTAGGTGCATGATTTGCTCATGGGAGTGCGCCCAAGAGACCCAGAGCTCAGGACAGTGACCAGATGACACTACCCAGACCCAGGGGGCGTAGAAGCATGTGGGATCCAGCAGGTGGGTCTACTCATAACAAACTGGGTATGCTGCAAAGCCTCTTTTTTCTCTGGAGTTTAGGGAGAGGTGGCTGGGAGATCAGTACACAAACAGCCCCTTGTTGATTGCTGATGGGGAGTGGGTTGTTATCGATTAGATCTGACAACTGGGGTTAGACAGGGAGATCAATCGTTTCAAAAATCCAGAACAACAGATGGGCACTTAATACATCAATTTGCACAGTTAAGGTTGCTCAACTCTCCTTCAATATTTTCCTCATGCACTAGGAAACAAACAAGTCAAGTCAACAGCAACACTTCTGTTTCTCTGCCTATCCCAGTATAAAACTTAGCAACTCTTACCACTTACTATTCTCCTTCCACAAACACCCAAGCCTTCATAGGCTATCATGCAGCCTTAAAGACATACACACAGGGAAATAAGTTAAAAGTAGAATTCACTCTTTTAGGGTATGGTTTTCTTTTCTTAAAAACAGAACTTTTAACACCTCTCCTGAAAACACATGTCAGATGGTCTCGGTATTCTTGGCCCTGCGCAGGGGACTGGGCTAGATGACCTCTCGAGGTCCCTTCCAGCCTGCTATAATTTCATGGCTCCAGGTCAGAAACCCAATACTGATATGTATGTAAATAGGGCTGTTGGAATTTGACAAACCCGCTGCCACATAGACACATAAGTTGTTGGATATCAAAAGCTAGGATATGGTTAATGAGATGCTCTCAGATTGGCACAGTACAAGTCAGTTGTGAAATAAAATCTTTACTCAAATTCCAAAACAGGAAGTTATACAAAGCTCTGTAACTACAGATATACTGTAATTTACACCTGAAGTGCAGTATAGAGTTTCCATGTATATTCTTTACAAAGGGTTCTGAAATAAGCCATTCAGTAGGGTCCAATTTCAAAAGCCATCTCTATTTCCAAAATATCTGAGTGTGTTCCTCGCACAAATTTTAACTATGCTGTTTTGTAAGTTTTGTTTTTTCCTGGTGTTGACATATTTCCATTCTTTTCTCCTGTTAAACCCAATTCTCTGATACAACCTTAAGCTATGGGTTCTTTACCGCTGCATCAAATATTTAGTAATGTCAACACATGTATTTGTTTGGAATTTATATTCCAGCAGATGTTTACATAAACATGATTAAGTAATTATTTGAGAAGCCAATTCAACTACAGGACATAAAAATGCTGGCAGTTAACTCTAATACAGAGGTGTGCTTTCAAAACAGTTCAAGTTTTAATATGATTTAAGGTCAATGGCGGTCAGAGTTTTACAATGGTGAAAGCAATTTTGTAGAAATATCAGTTTTATGGAATATTTCTCCAGATGCTTCCTCATGCATAATGTATGTGTGAAGCAAATTAGGCAGTTGCACTGCAAAGCAATTGGACTAACAGCGATCCAGTCAAGGTCACAATAAGACAACCTCATCCAGAATCATTTTCTTATAACAGAGAAATATATCGGAATACTGGACAATCTATAACCTTCATGCTGACTAATTTAATGGTTTAGTATATCACATGAACTAGCATTTGAATCTACAATACTCTGCAATTAGCTACCTACAGAATAGGCAGGCTTCAAAAAGTGCAGCTAAACCCACTTGCAATAAGACATATGTCTAAGTATTCAGGGGTTATGACTTTCATTGGGACTTGTGCTCCTCAATCTTCAGATGATTTTGAAAGTCTCCCCCTTAATACATTGATTTCTACTTATTACAGTTGATCTGTATTTTTAATTCATATGCAATCACTTGACATATTCGACAGAGCAAGGAGTTCTTTGATATAAAGTTTATAAACCATTACACTCATCAGTAAAATAGGTTCATCTTTAATTCATATGCAACAGTATGTCTCATTTAATACGTTTATACAGTTCAGCATGGCAGAAACAGGTTATCCCATTCAGATCCCTGTAAGAAAAACAACATACTCCTTTCTCTGTCTCATTTGGAGCCTTGTTTACAAGTGCAAGATTCTTGTCCATAGAAACAACAGAGTGAAAGGCACCGGATGGGTTTTAAGGTGTCTCATACTTGGGGCTGGTCTATACTTAGCCGCTAGTTCGGCGGCTGGAAATCGAACTTCCGGGTTCGATTTATCGCGTCTGGTCTGGACGCGATAAATCGAACCAGGAAGTGCTCGTCGTCGACTGCGGTACTCCAGCTCAACGAGAGGAGTACCGCGGAGTCGACGGGGGAGCCTGCCTGCCGCGTGTGGACCGCGTCTGAACCGCGGTAAGTTCGAAGTAAGGTATGTCGACTTCAGCTACGTTATTCACGTAGCTGAAGTTGCGTACCTTACTTCGACTTGGGGGGTTAGTGTAGACCAGGCCTAAGTGTAAAACGTCATCTATACTGCATGCCTAGAAGTTGGGATTCCTTAAACAATCTTTTAACAGCCTAGCTCTGCAGCGGGCAAGTGTTAAAAAAACAGACTTGCTAATGCTACGAACTATGCATATGTGCTACAATGTACGCCTGCTATTGTCTGCACACCACGAAAACTGCTTCAATGCTATATAAATTTGCTGCAAAAAAGGAGCAGGAGTGACTATTCCTACGACTTGCAGTCCATGGGCAATTCGTTATCGACAGAGCTGCATTCACCAGTCTTAGTCATTGTCATGGCCACCTGAAACTCAGTCCAGAATTTTGGGGTTTCCAGAAATTTTCTAATCAGCTAAACTCACAAGCACCTCTCAGCACCCTAAGCAACTGCTCCACATCTGCCTTTGTTGGCTCCCTCTCACATAAATTCAACAATGATTAAATATGCAGACAAAAACAAAAATCAGAGGGACTAGGACTAGAGATAGATTGAACCAAACTGCAGAGCGACCAGGTGCTACTAGAGCAACTGAGGCCATAAGCAACAAAGGGGACTGAGTCGGTGCTAATAAACGTGAAGCTGAACATCCAAGAAATGAACAGCACGGATACAGAATGAGAGCAATCTAATCAACCAGACCCACTCCTTGCACTGGAGCCTAGTTATTTCCATCATCCCTTTAATAACATCCTATTACTTTTTCCAACATAAACAGGTGCCTCTAGTTGCCATAGGGAAGATACAAAATTAAGATGGAGATGCTTGGAGAGACTAAGAGAATTGTCATCTTAAGTAGCGAGACAAGATGGAAGTTTGAGAGCCACTACCCTAGACCAAAAGATACCACAAACACACAAAAACTTGTATAATGCTTTTTGGGATGGCAGGGCTAAAGAAAATCCTGTAGACATAGGAAAGAGAGACAAGAATTCGGTGAATTTCCCCTCACATCCTTCCTATTTACTGCTTGTATTTCTACAGCGACATTCTATTACAGCAAATAAGCATCTGCTCCAGAATAGCTGGTGGCAGAGCAAAGAAAAAAAATTCTCTATGGAAAAAATGTTGAGACTGACCGCAAGCTATTATGTAACCTGGGAGAACAGGTACGGTCTCAAATGACAGGTTTCAAAGTAGCAGCCGTGTTAGTCTGTATCTGCAAAAAGAACAGGAGTCCTTGTGGCACCTTAGAGACTAACCAATTTATTTCAGCATAAGCTTTCGTGGGCTACAGCTCACTTCTTCAGATGCATAGAGTGAAACACACAGAAGATATTTATACATACAGAGAACATGAAAAGGTGGAAGTGCGCATACCAATTGTAAGAGGCCAATCAATTGAGATGAGCTATCAGTAGCAGCAGAAGAAAAAACTTTGAAGTGATAATCGAGATGACCCATAGAAGGTGTGAGGAGAACTTAACATGGGGAAATAGATTCAATTAGTGTAATGACCCAGCCATTCCCAGTCTCTGTTCAAACCTAAGTTAATTGTATCTAATTTGCGTATTAATTCAAGTTCAGCAGTTAGTTATACTAGTCATATCAGTATGAGCCTCTGTGGAGACACGCTTATTCCGGCATCACAAGGCCTTTTCTTGGGTTAGCTCCTGGCCTTTGGGAAGGGAGATAAGATAAAAAGCCACTC